AGTATGGATACCGTGTTTGGCATTTTGATATATCAAATGACAACCAGTCGATAAAACTGTATAAATAGAGGATATTCAATGTTTTTAGTTGTAAATGGAATTTATTTCACGGGTGGGGCGGGTTTTTTTTTTTTTTATTTTATTTTCACGAGTACCAAGGAAAAATCCTGTCTCAAAAATATAAAATTTAAAAAAAAAATCCATATTCAACTATAAACTTAAACATTGCATTTTCTGTTTATTGCATTTTCTTTATTTTCTCTTTACCTCTGTCTTTTCGTAACACAACTTCATAGAGTAGACTGTGATGTGATAGTTGAGCGGTTGAGACGTAACAGAGCAGCACTATGCGATTGTAATAAAAACATTGTGAAAATTTATTTTCAAAAACATATATATTTGGAGAAATTTTTGCAGTTTTAGTCTCTATCGGAATGGTTTATTTATTCTCTATTTTATAAACGGAAGTATTTTTTTACAACACTCTTCGAGATGGAAAGGAACAGAGAGTTTTGCCGCACTTCTGACTATTTTTTCTCACTTTGACAGAATATAACTTTGATGTTCTATCACACTGTGACAAAATATCACCTTTATCAAATAAAAAAATAGAGGATACTCAATGTCTTGTGGTTGGATATGGAATTTATTTCTCGAATGGGACAGGATTCATTTGATATTTTTACGAGTGCGAAAAAACTATCTCGCGAGTGAAATCAATTTTCATATCCAACTACAAAATATCGAATTTTCTGTTTATTACATTTTCTTTGATTTTCCTTTAATTTGCCTCTGTCTTTTCGTAACACAGTGCCATGGACTGTGACGTTATATCCCTAACAAAAAAATACCATAGTTAACTATAGTTTACTAAAGTTAACTACAGTGATAACTTTGACACACAGGTACTTGACGTTTTAAACCTTTCTCTTTAATGATAAAGATATCCCCATACTAATATGTTGACGGTGCGACCGTTGAGGCGAGCGCATTGTTCACTTCATTCGTTAAGATCCGCCTCTTCAAACCGCACGAGACATTTGGAACTGTGACGTCACATGACGTATGTTAGCTGCATTTCCATAAACAAAGCTTAAAAAGTGCAATGATTTTAACAAAGAACGTTTAATCTACTATCTGTATGCAATATCCATTAAATTAATATGAGTTTATTTTGTCTGAATTTTTAGCTATTGTTACCGCGCGAACGAAGTTAGCAGCGAGAACAAGAAGCGATGCATTGTGGGTCCAGAATTACTGCGGAAAAACAAGGTACGTCACGGTCGCCATCTTGAATTTTTCAGGTCAACTACATCGCCTCGATTTTTTGTCTACAACATGTTTAAAATCAACGGACACAACCACCAACGTTAATTACTTACTTTGGATACGTCTCAACTTTCGGGTTATTCCACTGAAATCACGTAACATCCATTCTATTTATTCAAATATCGCTCCAAACTCAGTCTACTGCTTCCGATTCAGTAAATCTTAGAAAAGGGAGGCCGGAAGTTGATGCTTTTATGTAAATGGGAATACCCTTCAGTTATATTTGATTGGTTAAAAGAAAAATGACATTTCGCGGGAAAAGTCCGGCAGAGGCAGCATGTGCTTTTTAAAACAACTGTTACACGCTTTTCAGAGATATCCACTTAGAGTTGTTTCTGTAATCTGGAATTAACACAGTTTTTCCCATTGGTGTGTTTTGTTTATTTAATACATGTTATTGAGTTTTCATCCTCGTTGAAATTTTTTGTAAAAAGCTTGTTTCAACTATACATGTATCAGTCAAAAGCGAGATACATTTATTTTCAAATAACTAATAGAGGAGAAAGGGTTACAACATCAATAACATGTGATGCATACAATGTACTAGCATTAGAAAAAAAAAGAGAGAGATCCCGGATTAAAATAAATGGGGGTATACCAAGTCCTGTGGTACGCGGTTTTTGTTTTTTTTTTTGTTTTTTTTTTTTTTTTTTGAATTATTTAAAGAGATCGGCAAAGTTGTATTCTTCTAAGTAAACAGGTACTGGAAAAATAGTATTTCTTATGAAACGAAGGTAGACTGTTCTTAGGTTAAATAAAAGGATTGTAACAGTTATGAAGGATAATGGGTTTACAGCAGAGTCGCTTTAGTTCCAGTCCGCCATTGCTGTTATTTGTTGACAGGACTTCGTGAAAGCAGACACTTGGAACCCATACCACCTGTAGGTCATTACTCAAAAAACAGGCAGATATATTGTGCAAAGTGATTGAGGCACGTAGCATCTTTTTTCGGGGGGGGGGGGGTAGAATTTTAAAAAAACGCAAAAAAAAAAAAATAAATAAATAAATAAAAAATAATTTGAAAATAAAAATAAATAGTCAGTCAGTCTCCCAAAGAGTGTTTGGGGAAAGGAACATTATTTATTTATTGTTTGTTTGTTCAATAAGTGAGAGGGTTTAACAGTACTACAACTAGAAAAGGGGCAGTCGGCCTAAAAATGATAGTTTCCATGCAAATAAATGCAAAAAGAGGGGAATAACTCATAAGAAAATGGTGGGTGAGCAAATGAAAATCTGGTCCTGGTCATAATTTCTTTTGTAAACAGGCTCTTAAAGTACAGTCTGACCGGTACCTTTAATGTATTACTCTTTTCCGTCAAATGTGTAAATGGTCTTTCAGTGTAAAATGTTTTCTTGATTTGCGTAAGATATTCATAAGTGAATCCCCCCCCCCCCCTTTTTTAAAAATAATTTTCCACCGCTGAATTTAAATATATAACGTATAAAAGACCTTTTAATATCAGATGAGCTAGTGCTTATGTCTGAACCCTCATTCCACCTTCCTTTAGGTGAAATATATGTATTACGAGTCTATAAGAAATTTCAGAAGAGAGGCGAGCAAAAGTATCATGGAGCAAAAGCATCATGTTTGAGCTCTGCGTCTGGTATTTTTTCCTCCTTTTCATTTTTATATTTTGATTTACTCCATTCAAACCCTTTTTAAATGTTTTTGACGATTCTCATAGACATCTCCTTTCTTGTATAATACAGTAATTCTTGGACCCCCCCCCCCCATCTTTTTTTAAGTGTGGGACTACTCCAATGTTAATGTAAAAAGTACACTGCATGTAGTCTGAAACCAATTATGTGCAAATATATTATATGAATATGTGTCAATATAATAAGTAAATATAAAATGTGGTGTGCTCAGATTTCATTCTTTTTCCCATACGAACGCGTTTTTCAGTTCATTATTATTCATAAGCATGTTAATATAAGGACCAATCAGAAAAGGGCTATCCCACATTATGACATAAAAGCATCAACTTCCGGCCTCCCTTTTCTAAGATTTACTGAATCGGAAGCAGTAGACTGAGTTTGGAGCGATATTTGAATAAATAGAATGGATGTTACGTGATTTCAGTGGAATAACCCGAAAGTTGAGACGTATCCAAAGTAAGTAATTAACGTTGGTGGTTGTGTCCGTTGATTTTAAACATGTTGTAGACAAAAATCGAGGCGATATAGTTGACCTGAAAAATTCAAGATGGCGACCGTGACGTACCTTGTTATTATTGTAGTATGGGGATATTTTTATCATTAAAGAGAAGGGTTTAAAACGTCAAGTACCTGTGGTCAGGGAATATTTTTTACAACACTCTTCGTGAAGGGAAGGAAAATGGAGAATTTTGCCACTCTTCTATTATATTCTTTCACACTGTCACAAAATATTACTGTGATATTCTTTCACACTGTGACAAAATATCACTTTTATTCAATAATGGAATTCCAGTATTTCACTATTGAAAATGTAATAAATTACAGACGGTATTTCACTGTTGAAAATGTAATCAAGTTCTGAATTTTCTGTTTAATTGCATGGCTAACTCCTTTTTTGGTTCAGAATTCAAGGTTTTTCAAGCTTAGTTTAAGTTTAAGAAGTATTTTATTCACGATATACATAGAAGTATATACAATGAATATGGATTGAACAGCAAGCAAAAATGGCCTGCTGTTTTTCAAGCTTCTTCATATTTCTTTGTTATGATAAACCGTCATGTTAGCTCAGTCGGTAGCGTGCCCGCATGTGTTGGTAATTGCATCAAAAATTCAGTATGGCTGGAAAATATCGACTGTATTTGAATTAACTGTCAAGTATTTGATACATGTAAGTTGATTGCATACAGTTGTCTTTAATACTTAAGTCTCGTATTCAGTGCATTTTATGGGAAAAAGGAAAATGCTTGGTAATTTGTAAAATCATTAAAAATAATTTTTGGCAAGTATATTTTGGAGCCTGGGCAGATATACAAGTTGTGCACAAAGTTATTAGAGTCGCGGAGTAAGGAGTTGATCCTTACGTCGCGGGTTCGAATCCCACTGTGGGACGTGGAGACCGGTCCTTCGGATGAGACCGTATAAACCGAGGTCCCGTGTCGCAGTAGGTGCTGGCACGAAAAAGATCCCTCGCTGCTCAATGGCCGTAAGTGCCGGGTATAGGACAAAATTTGCAGCTCTCCACCGGTAAGTGGTGGCGTCTCCATGTGAATGAAAAATTCTCGAGGGGGACGTTAAACAACATACAAACAAAACACAATAAAAACATACGCCTAAAATTTTAAAAATTCTACAACAAAAATGATCCCTTAGCTGTTGTTGAAATTTTCATGTCCATATTGAATAAGCTAATAAATCGTCTATGTGTAGACCCTTTGTTTGTTAATACGGGGATTAACGGTTGCAACTATTGCAGAAAAAATGCATATTAAACCGGTCCGTAAGTTACTTTGATGGAAGAGCATATTGTTCGTACTGTAAAAATCTGGATATTTCCAGTTTAGCGTAAATCGATTTTATTTAATCTCGAAAAAAGGTTATTGCTTTTTCTTTTATTGAAAACCAGATAGAACTGAATCGCGCTCTTACCTAACAAGAGGAACAACTCATTCTTCCTGTCTACAGTTTTTATGTATACGCGCATTTCGCTTCGCCTTTCGTCACTTATTATCCTTTGCGATTCCGTACATTCCGTATTGTGGAGTTCACATAGGGTGACTCAAGTCAACTGATCTGACTTTGAGTGAGAAAGGTAAGGCCTTTTCTTCTTATAATGAACATTTTTTTTTTATTTTTTTGAAAGCAGAAAAAGTAAGATGTCGTTCACATTGGTTTGGTTGGAGTGAATGAAGGGGGAAAAATATTGGCAGTGCAACATGAAAATCTGTCAACCGAGCTAATACAGCAATTACAGTGTATGGACTTTATCATATTCAGTTTTAGGGAATTGTTTCATGTTTTTTTACCTTTAAAAAGATTGTGCTTTTCATTCTCTTTCTTCTTTCGCTTGATGCAAATTACGCCTAATCCTCGTAGTAAGAAAGTGGGTGCATGATCGATACAAGCGCAAAACTGTTCAATACCAGCTAGAACTGGATAATGTTTTCATTGTCTTTATTGTATGATGTTAGTTAAGCCTAACATGAATTGTTAAGAGTTTCAGTTGACTCTGTGTTCAATGAGAAATGAACATTATTTGTGAAACCAAAACAGCAAAACTAAACAAACCAAAAAAATTACATTTTTTCGGCGTACAAGTTCATCATGGCCACGTGTGGAAAAATGAGGTCAAGGCTTAATTACATGCAATAGATCTACACGCCCCTGCTTTGTAGACATATTATTGGGGGCACAAAATTCAACAAGTGGATTAACCATTGATTATATATTTGCATTTTTTAAAAGATATTTTTAATATGGAAGAGACAGGGGCCTTGTAATGGCTTGTTTTTATTGTTCACCAATCAGATCTTTCCATTTTGACACACCTCCTAAAGACGGGTCATTGACTAGAGAGGAAGTTGCCGCAGGCACCTGAAATTATAATATAAAAATACATGAGTGTTGTGAGTTGCAAATAAACCATAGATGATAAAATTTTAAACTCCACTTTATATAAAAACAATTTGATATAGATCTACTATGTGTTTCATTAAATAGGCCTATGTGTATAAATTATGCTCATTATATAGTACAGTGTCATTGACACAGTATACATGTATCCATTGCCAGGTTTCTGGAGAGGAGGGTGAGGATATCCTTGAACAAGATAAATTTTATCAATAGATACCGTATTACTGGGTTCTCATGCATTCTTGATATCTTTTTTCACATTCTACCTGAACCTTTTAGAATCTAGAATTTAAGTATAAACCACAAGCAAACCAATATTTTAATGATGGAGATACAGTAGTAGGCCTAAATATACACTATATATATTCTTTTTTTTTAATCTGTCTGCATTCTGATATATATGTAATAACAACACGTATATAGGATTAAAAAAAAAGAATATATATAGTGTATATTTAAGGTCTACAAATCGCTAAAACAAAGGATATGATTTAACCGTTTGGAGGGGGAAAAAAATGTTTCCTGTACAAAATCAGACCTTAGATGCTATATTTTACTTGTAACTGAATTCATTACACCATTAAAATTTAAGACAAAATTTATTTACATTTCAGAATAAAGATGTTCAGTAAATTGCAGAGACAGTTGTATGCAGTTGGAAATGCCTGTCATAAGTTAAAAGGTCTGCAACAGCCTGTCCGCAGTGTGGTTAACATCACAGCTAAATCCCAGGCTGTGTTCGATCGGGAGGATAAATATGGAGCCCACAACTACCACCCCCTCCCTGTGGCTATCTGCAAAGGAGAAGGTAAAACTGTACTTTTAAAGGCTGTATTAACATATATATTCTATAAAAAGCATTTTTAATGAATGAGAGGCACACATTTATGTAACCTGACCTAAAGAAGATATGATTAACAACCTCATTAAGCCTCGAGAATTTCTCCTTAAAATATTTTTCAATTTATCAAGTAAGCCTGTAAAAAAAAGTGCATGTAGATTTCGGAGATTAACAAATTGCCATGTTTTGAATTGTAGGAGTATATATGTGGGATGTCGATGGAAATCGTTACTACGATTTTCTAAGTGCTTACAGTGCTGTAAACCAAGGACACTCGCACCCAAAGATCATCAAGGCTTTGACCGAGCAGGCATCTACTCTGGCCTTGACCTCCAGAGCATTCTACAACAATGTGCTGGGAGAATATGAGGAATACGTCACTAAACTTTTTGGCTATGATAAGGTCCTTCCCATGAACACAGGTAAATTTTTATCCTGCAGTGAAAGGGGGGAGTTCTTGTGCTGATAATGTGTCCGTTATTGGATGAAAGTGTGTGTTAATTATGGAAGGGATCAAAGTTCAGTTAAGCATGGACCTTACCTGTACCCATGCAGTTATGACTTTGTTGCAAATTAATATATTCAAGTCTTCCAGAGAATAAGAATTTAAAGTTCTTATACATCAGCAAACCAGGACTTTTAAATTTTTTTTATCCTGTTAAGGTCTTAGAGAAATGTAAAATAAGTTTTCAAAATATTTTTGTAAAGGTTGAACCTGTGAATGTAATGTAAAGGATTATGCTGTGGATTTTAAAGGGCCATCTTTGTATGTCTTCATTATGTCTTTGACCATACATTGAAAAAGCACCATATTTTTAGCCATGTACTTGTGCTCATAAGAGGTTTAGAGACCTTGAAATTATATAAAGATAGAGAAGTTATTCTCCATCTACAGAAATGTCATCAAGATTTAATCACTTTTCACCAACAAAAAAATTTGGTGCCTACTGTTGTAAAAATAAATTCACATTTAACCTAAGTGTAGTTGTATGCAAGTAAAGAAACTGACAAAAAGAAAAAAAAGATCCTCTGAGACATCATACAACTAAAAAAAACCCCAAACAATACACACCCATATGAAAGCACATGCAGTTTTTAGGAGAATGCATGTACCACTAGCATAAACTTGGATTTTTTTTAGTCTCCTACTGGTGTAGCTGCAGATCTGTAGCTCACTGGTCAGAAAAATTATAATCGATGACCAGAGAGCTACAGTGCCACCCATTGAAAAAAGTGTATATTTATTGTGCACAAAAAAAGTGCACTTTTTCTCGATTTATTTGTCCATATATTCAAGCTGCCATCTCAAAGTATTATTAACCGTGTGTTCCTAACATATTATTTTTCTACTACCACAACAAAGAATTCCCCATAACTATTCTTAATTAATAGCCCTCCTGGACCTGAAATTGGGACCATCGAAAATTTCACTCATTTGCTATAAAGACAATTTGGTCTGACACACTTTGTGCAGATGCCAACTACAGGAGAAAATGATAGAGGTCTTAGGAGTTTTTTGAAATCTAGCGTTTGAGTAGTTGAGGCAAGAATTTGAATAAATGAAATCAGATCCATACGCAACTTTTTGTGTGCAGTAAATATTCCGCTTTTTCTATGGATTGCACTGTAGCTCTCCGGTCTGTCAATTTTTTTTTTTTTTTGGAGAGCTACATTTCTGCATCTGCTAACTGGTGAAAAACGAGGGGAGTACCGTATTGTTTTCCTCTAAGTCTGACATTCTGTCCGACATGGTTTTTGAGACTTTCTTAAATCTATATTTTGAGCTGATATTTGGTGTGTTAATTTATCTTGCTACAGATCAAGTTAGCATTTATTTTTTTTTTTGCTGCATGAATTTTGAGGGAATTATGGCCCATACCAGTAGAGAACTCAGTACACTGTACTGCTAATGTAATACTCTCAGAATGCTTTATTGTCAAATAATACAACTAAAATTCCATTCCCAGGTGTGGAAGGTGGAGAAACAGCCAATAAATTAGCCAGGAAATGGGCATACAATGTAAAGAAAATCCCAAAGAACAAGGCCAAGATTGTGTTTGCTGAGAACAACTTTTGGGGCCGAACTTTGGCAGCCATTTCCAGTTCTACAGACCCCTCGAGTTTTGAGGGGTATGGACCCTACATGCCGGGTTACACTATTGTGCCATATAATAATATTCCAGCTTTGGAGGTGAGCTGAGATATTAATTCCTGTAAATTCTAAAGAAAGTTTTTTGTATTTTAATGTCATTTAAACTACATAGCTTTTTAGAGGTAGACAAAATATATATTTCAGTGTAATTAGCCTTGTGGTGTAGATGCACAATAAGGTTATGAAATTGGGATTGTGTTCATGTGTTGTTTAATATGTAGGAGTGTAGTATGGTATGGTTCAAATTAAATTCTTTAATCGAAATTCCTACATTTTAAGTGGTAGCTTAGAAATTTGCATATCATTGGCCATTATGTTATTAGATGGAGTAAGGTTTCATCATTTTGTTCGCTGTGTCAGGCCTCCAACTCTAAATAAAGAGCATGATTAATTGTAAAGGCTATTTATTTGAATTTTTCTAAATTTCAAATTTGTGTTAAATTAAATAAAAGTTGCAGTTCAGGAAAAATTTGATGTTTGAAGTGGTTTACATTTAATTTCCGTATGAGTAATCAGATAACAGTTTTTTGGCAGATTTATTCCTGACATACTGTCAAACATGGCTACATATACAGTTACAACTTTATTATGAATTCACACTTGCAGCAAAATAGTTTTCATGCTTATAGTTTTTTAAAACTATAAAACTGTGAACTTACTGGATATAATGATTTTCATAACAAATTAAAATTGTTCATCCCTGGCAATTTGCTATAAGGTGTTTCTAAAGTTGATCAATTTGAATGACTGCATGAGGTTCCTCTGAAGAATTCGTACTATTTATCATGATTTCATGTGTCCTATATCTTCTGGATGAGTGATAAAAAAGATCCTTTTTGAAAAAGAGAGATTGATATGAAATTTACAAAGTATATTTATATCTCAGTTTGCTATATTTCATATGTCTTTCTATTTTTGTGATACTTTCCTTAAATATTGTGAACAAAATAATGCTAGCTTTGTAAAGTGTGGTTATCTCTCTTTGAACATTCATTTATCTGCTTTTTAGAAAGAGTTGCAGGATCCCAATTGTTGTGCTTTCATGGTGGAGCCCATTCAGGGTGAGGCTGGCGTTGTAGTACCAGACGAGGGTTACCTACGCAAAGTTCGTGAATTGTGCACCAAGTACAACGTACTGTGGATTGCTGATGAAGTTCAGACTGGACTCTGCAGAACTGGAAAGTACGCAAGATAAAAATAATTGTCTAATATATGGGGAAATGTTTCAAAATGTAGAATAGTATTTTTAGCAGTATTTGTGATATCCTTTTGTATAGGGAGAAAGATTTGTATTAATAGTTATGTTCATATTGTCTAACCAGCTATACTTGTGATAATCTTTTATATATACGTACATGGGAGAAAGATTTATATTGTGAAGTTCAGATTTCTTATTTTATTACAGTAACTTTGCACGTCAAAATAATGGTTTCTATTTTGATCTACCATTTTCCAATAGTCTAAGAAATTGGCAGACTTGTGTTATAATTTCATTAATAAATATTTATCTTGAAAAAGAAGGAAAAAAATCTGTGCAATTGAACACAATCTTTGTAAATACTGCTTTTGTAGAATGTTGGCTGTTGATCATGAAAATGTGAAGCCTGACCTCTTGATCCTGGGGAAAGCTCTCTCTGGAGGCATCTATCCTGTGAGTTTTCTGTATTCTGAATATTAACGTATATCCGAGTTTTTTTTTCATGAGTTTGAAATTTTGCGAAAAAAGGCAGATTTGTACTGTTTTTATTTTGCACAAGTTATTTTTTACGATTTAAAAAAAAAGATTTTAATGGATATGTTTTTATGGCACACAATAATCGACATAATTTCTGTGTGTCTTATTTTTTGCGAATTAAAATTGATTGCAAAAAATAGATCATCACGAAAAAAATGGATATAGGGTAATCTTCACATAAAATACTTTTAATGAATTAGATTAACAAATATTTACTGCTCATGTCTGTTCACATTACTTAAATCTCATTTTGTGACAGGTCTCAGCGGTTTTAGCCAATGATGAAGTCATGCTGACCATTAAACCTGGTGAACACGGTTCTACTTATGGAGGTAATCCACTCGGCTGTAAGGTCGCCATAGCAGCTTTAGAGGTAACGTGTCCTGTCATATCGGCAGATCTTTTCTCGTTTGACAGCATATTGGTTTTATAGACAAAGTAGATTGAGATTTTAAAGAATTTTGTAATATTTCTTCAACTTCAGAAGATCGTTTTATTGTTGACTTTTTGCATACCCCGTATGCTTTGTAGGTCTTGCTGGAGGAAAAACTTGCAGACAATGCAGAAAGGCTGGGAAAGGTTTTGAGAAGTGAACTTGCCAAACTTCCAAAGGAAAAGGTGAAAATTGTTAGAGGCAAGGGACTACTGAATGCCATTGTCATCAATGAAAGTAAGTCTCATATACACATATGAGGAACAAATGAGTAAAACTGGTACAAAATTTTGATATCATTATAAATTTCCCAGGTGTTCTAAATGTACAGTAATGTAGGTACAGTGTAGGATTGAAGTACATGTATAAAATTCTAGTTGATGGACATAAAATGAAGGTCATTTACAGAGAAAATTTTTTACAATGTTAGGTTTTACAATGTTAGATTAAGTATGACCCCATTTAATAGGGAAATTTGTCCTCTTATGGTATCTCAAGGTAAAAAGAATGGTATCATTATTAATACTCTGAAAGGAAACTCATTATACATTTTTAAAAGTAACAGAATGTTTTTGTTGTTTTCTTGTAGAATATGATGCATGGGAGGTGTGTTTAAAACTAAGAGACAATGGACTGCTGGCCAAGCCTACGCATGGTGACATCATCCGATTTGCCCCACCCCTTATAATCAATGACGAACAGTTAAACGACTGCATCAACATTATTAAGACCACCATCGAGAAGCTATAAAGATAAAGAAAAATAACACGATTTTTCATGCTTAGCATAATAAAAATAACTATGACAGAAAAATACCAGAGGATAATTAGTCAAGACAGAACAGAGGAAATCCGGGAATAGGAGAACCCAAGAAAATGCCTATTGTTTAAAAAAACAAACTCAGAATCTGAAGTTTTCCTTTGCACTAGGTCATTTGACAAAGGTTGATAGGTTTAAGAGAATTTTTGCCATAAGATGAATATTTAAAGTACAGGATACCTGGTAAATATGTCAACTGTATATATTGAATCTTATCACATTTCTTCCTCCAATGGCATCAAGTGTATAATTTTGATAAGTTTTCTTCTAAATACAAGTCAAAATGTAGAAGAATCCCAGTTTACAAAACATGCAGAGGGGACCTACTGGCTTTATGTTTTTTTATTATGACATAACATTGCTATTTTTAGTTGAAGTATTTGAAATCCAGTTTGTTTACCGGTATATCTTTAGTGTTTATCTTGCACACAATGACAAGAGTTTTTGTTGTAAGCAGCATGGCTTTGTTGATCAGGCATCATATTTTCTCTTAGGTACAACAATTTATTTAAGATTATATCTTAATAGTTTAAGTTTAGTAAGAATGAGATATATTTTTGTAAATTTTTTGAAGTTATATTTAAACCTTTCTATCAAGTGTGACTCTTTAATTTTACTGTCAAAGCAATAGGCATTTCTTTTGTTTGATCTGATTTGAAGTTATTCCTGAAATTACATTACAGTGCTCTTTTACGTAAAATCTCAGATTTATTTATTTTTTTACCAGTGACAGCATTGTTATTTTCCAGTTTGTTTTTATTTCAAAATTTTATTTTGGTGAAATACTACTGTGTGATAGAGGTTTGTAATCTCTGAAAATCGTTTTTTTTAAATTGTTATGTTTATTATAGATCTGATATAAATGATCTGGGATTTGTCTCTAAAATGTATCACATTTCCATTTGTTATTTTTGAAATCATTTCTAATAAATGTCCCTTTTGCAAGCTTTGTAAAAGTTTTGAATTTTTGCTTTTTATTAAGTACTGTGGAATCATCATTTTTCATGAGAGACCAATATTTCTGGATTTCTTGGATCACTCTTACCCAAGAATTTACATCCCCACAAACAAACTTTATTCAAAGCAACCTTCTTAATACACAACCAGAAAAAATATGTTCTGACGAACCAGTCAAATTTTGATTGACCAACTCCCCACCCCCATGAATTAAAATGATTTCCACAGTAATTTTTTTATTCACCATGAATCTTAAAAGAATATATGGTGGATAAAAGGGTACATTTCATAGTGGCTAAATAGATCAGTTGGTAGAGGATCCGACTAAGATTCTAGTGGCCTGGATTTGAATATTTGTCTGGTATAACATGTATTGCATTTTCTCAATCTGAGTTCCCATAACATTTGGTGCTATGACCAGGTTATGATGCGTGAAAGACCTGCCAGGGAAGAATCTGGATTAGTGTTTTTAACCGTATAAACTTTTAAGGAGCGAGGAATGTAGCAGTCGGACAGGCCCACTAACAGGCTACTAGATAGGTCGGTCAGTAGAGCACCTGCCTAGAGTTCAGGGGGCAAAGAACTGTTATTTATTTTCTTAACTTTTGCACAGAAGACAAAGTCATTCATGAAACGGTTCAAAAAACTTAGATGCTGTCATTAGACAGTAATACCTGCACATAAGTGTTTGCCTCTAAAGTTCCTGGGTAATTAATGAAGAAGCAACAAAAGTTACTTAATAATTTACGTAAATATATGTGTATGAATCTCGGATAAGGATGGGGCCAATGGACCTTGTACTCGTATGTTAGAAATTTAAATAATAAATTCATTAGTAAAAGGTTATGATAGTGGTGATCAATGTTATAATCCAGTGAGGAATGTTAATCGTGAACGGGAAAACATGGATCCCTGGAAACACCATGGGAGGGATCAGGGACCCGTTTTACAAAAGAACTTACATGTACGACCAAGACCAAAATTTTATACTGCTTATAACTTTCTAATTTACATTGAATTGAAAATGTTTTCAATCTTTTTAAAAGGAATGTAGAAAGATATTTTACACTAGAAATTTTATACAGAATCCTTAATTTTGCAAAAGTTTACAATCAACTAAAGTTTTCGGTCTTAGTCGTAAGTTCTTTTGTAAAACGGGCCCCAGGTGCCTAGGAGGAACAAGTAAAATATGCCCTGTTGACTGGTCATACTTGCGTGAGCACTCTCTGTTGATCAGGTAAATAGAGTAATAGGTAGTTAAGTTGGATTAAAAATGATGGCCTAACAATTGGTGGGAAACATCAGCCAGTATGACCCAACAGATAGGCTGTATTAGTAAAGAAGGTCAATATGAAGACCATAGAATTTTATAAAATGCTGACTTTAAATGATATATTTGAAAAACCTGTAACATCAACTTATTTGTCAGTAGTCTCTGCCTCTGTTTAAAAATTGATCATAGTCAGAAAATGCTTTTGCTTACTGAACCCGTTGGGAGACATAAACATTATAAATGTATGCAGGTGATAGTGGATTCCAAATATTACTACATAAATTGGGAAAGTTGATGATGGAAAAGCTAAAGAAATCCCATTTGCCATAGAGTTTTAATTGATAGTTGGCCTTTGTTGTCTATAGTCAGTAAATCATCAAAATATGAAACAGATGTAACAGACTCTGTCGTGTCTATTATTCTGAGTTCACTGGGATATACTGAGTTAACATAAGGTTGAAAATTACTATTGATAACACGTTGTCGATATCGCGAAATGTTGAGTATAAAGGCACAGCAAGAGTTTTCTTCTCAGCTTTTCCATCGTCAGCTTCCCTTATTTTTGTAGAGGTATTCCAATATAATCTGCTTAAGGCGTTTATGTTTCCCAACTGTTTCGATACGCAAGAGCATGCTTTGAATATGAACAGTTTTTAAACCAAGGCAATTTCAGCTACTGACAAAAAAGTTGATGTTACATGGAATTCAACAATCCCATTTCAAGTCAGCTTTTCGGTCGTTTTTATTACCTTGCTTGTAAATACACCCTATCGTTGGGTTGCATTTTGCCTGACATGTTTAAAACCATTGTTTGGTCATTGCTTTTATACTAAATTTGACTTCGGAGGACTCCGTCTACCTGATCAATAAATATGACTCACAATGAGTGTGGCAGGTTGACGGGGGTGCTTACTCCTCCTAGGCACCTGATCCCATCTCTAGTGTTTCCAGGGGTCCGTGTTTTTGCCCTGTTCACGATTTGTTTTGTTTGCTGGATTTATGAGATTGATCACTATTCTTACATGTATCTTCACCTTTTCCATGGATGTTTAATAAGAATATAAAAATAGGTTGGCTCATAGCAAAGCACGATAAGTGCCAATCGAAATTCCAACAGGTTGTTAAAAGACCTGATCTCCAAAGGCTACAAAGATACTATAAATGAGAAACTCCAGCTTCTTTTTAATACCAACTTCAGAGTGCTTTTGTGTAGAATCAGAATTATTTTTCAAGAAGTAATTCTGTAGAGAACTAATCACAAAATATGAAAATTTACGAGTTCTATTGTTATGGAAGAAGCAATTGTCTATGATTTCAAACAGCCTGTGCCCCCTTTCTCAAAACATCTTACGATTAATACAAAAAAAATTCCCATTCCTCAAGAGGTATCTAAGTTGCAGTAGGACACAAAAAAATCTTATATATCTATTATATTTAATTACATTATAAAAATATTTAAGAAACAAGATGTGTTTGTGAAACACTGACGCCCCTGTATGGCAACTTATAGCATAGATTAAACTTTCTCAAATGCAAATCAAATATGTTGGTACCCAAAGTAAGGTCTTGTCTCGAGGAAAATACCTGTGAAATATGAGAGCCCTAGCAGCAACCATTGAGAAGATATGGAAAAGGTTAAGGTTTTTCAAAAGTAAGTCAAACATCAAGGTCAAGGTCAAATGGTAAAAAATAATGGTGCCTAAGGAAAGGCCTTCTCACAAGAAATATACTGGTCAAATATGAAAGCTGAAGCACCAATCGTTCAAAAGTTATTACTAAGGTTTAAGTTTTCCAAAAGTATGTCAAACTCCAAGGTCAAGGTTAATGGATTACAATTGTTGGTATCCAAAGGAAGGTCTTGTCACAAGGATTACATATGTGAAGTATGAAAGATCAAGCACCAATTGTTCACAAGTAATGGCCAAGGTTAAAGTTTTCCAAAATTAGGTCATACTCCAAGGTGAAGGTCAAAGGGTCAAAGTTGTTGGTTTTCAATGGAAGGTCTTGTCACAAGGATTACATATGTGAAGTATGAAAGATCAAGCACCAATTGTTCACAAGTTATGGCCAAGGTTAAAGTTTTTCAAAAGTAGGTGAAACTCCAAGGTCAAGGGGTCAAAGTTGTTGGTATCCAAAGGAAGGACTTGTCACAAGGATTACATATGTGAGGTATGAAAGCCCTAGCACCAATTGTTCAAAAGTTATGGCCAATGTTAAAGATTTTTAAAAGTAGGTCAAACTCCAAGGTCAAGGTCAAAGGGTCAAAGTTGTTGGTATCCAAAGGAAGGTCTTGTCAAAAGGATTACACTTGTGAAGTATGAAAGCCCTAACTCCAACTGTTCAAAAGTTATGGCCAAGGTTAAAGTAGGGTAAAATTTTGTAAAACAAGGTCAAACTCCAAGGTCAAGGTCAAAAGGTCAAATATGGTGGTACCCAAAGAAAGGTCTTGTCACAAGGAATACACATGTGAAATATGAAAGCCATAGCTCCAACCAATCAAAAGTAATGGGCAATGTTAAAGTTTTTGCGGACAAACAGACAGACGGACGGACAGGGCAAAAACTATATACCCCCGAATCTTCGATACGGGGGCATAAAAATAAATATTTATTCATTAAAGAAAAAAATTACAGAGTTGTCAAATTTTTATCTTAGTCGTAAGATGTTTTCTGAAAAGGGCCACTGGTTTTTATTTATCACGAGGAATGGTTGTATAAAACGTTGAAATATGCTTCGTTTTGATTTTATTGATTTTTTAAAAAATATTTTAATTTTTTTCAGAGATCCTTTGGAAGTTTTGAGAATCCACATTTGATTAACTCCACTTCTTGAATTTGTATCTATGGACTTCTATGAATTAAGTTTTGGCATCCACTTTTCCACACGATTTTGAAGAATTTCATACTTTAACCTGAAACTGTGAGTATATATATCCAAATCTGGAATAAAAATTGAGTTCTTCTAAAACGGAGTTGAACTAATGAGCCTTATAAACAAAGACTACATTGTTACAAGCTTTGTCATATGGAACAGTAACACATTTTTCATGTAGTCTTACAAATTCTTGATCACTGCCTGTCCATTGAAAAGTTTTGTTGTTAAGTTACCATTAGCGTCTTTTTCTATAGTTAAACATCCAAACATGAAATAGATGTGTCAGACTCTATGGTATTTTTTATTTCAAGTTCACTGGGATATATCGAGTCGACATATGAATGAAAGTACCCAAGGGAATTCCGACAGACTCTTGGAAGACCTGATCTGCAAAAACTACATAGATATTGTCAAACAGAAACTCAAGCATCTATTTTTACTTCAGAGTACTTGTGTATGGTGGCATATTTCTGCCCCCTACATGCAAGATAAATTATGTTAACATGCGAGAAAAGTATGTCAACATGCAAAATAATTATGTCTACATGCATGATAATTTTGTTGACATGCAAATTACTTATCTTTTTTGAGAATCTAATTTCAATGTTGGTAAACTTACTTACTAACGCCAGTATACGA